TCCCCTGCCAAGATCGGCTACTCCCTCTCTGGTCTGTGTCTCCATTCCTTCTGCGCTCGACGTACAAGCTAATACATCCGCAGAGGCCTCCCAATACATCAACGGCTCGCTCCCCTCCATCCTGAGCAACGGCGTAAACGTCGCCGCCGCCGCCCTCACCAAAGCCCTCGTCCTTCACATCGTCGCCCTCGTCGTCGCGCTCATCGCCTTCGGTTTCGCGCTCCTTGCCCTCCTCGGTATCCCCTTTATCGCCGAATGCTGCGCGGACTGCTTCAGCGGCTTCGCCGGCGCGACGGGCTTCACAGTCTTCATCTTTGACCTCGCGTTCTTCTTCATCATCAAGAAGCGCGTGAACGATGAGACGGGCGCGGACAGCGCGGTTATTGGGAATGCGATCTGGCTGACGGTCGTGGCGATGCTGCTGCTGTTTGTGACGCCGATATTGTTCTTGATTGGGCGGTGCTGTGGGTTCGCGAGCAAGGTCGCGTATAAGCCGCTGTGAGGGCGCGTGTGGGCGCGAGTTGAGAGGTGCTGCACTATCATTAACTTATGCAATTGTTGGACTACACATTATCTCCGGCATCCGACCGACCTTCCCTTCCGATAAAATTGTAGCACTTACTTTTAGTATCTGCAGTGTCTAAATTGTGTGCTTAATGCTCGGAATTTACTGTAGCATCTACGTGCGCGCTTCACAGTTTCTGTAATCACTACTCGTCAAGTGAGGACTCAGCAATACACGGTGGGATGGTATATACTTGCATAAGTTAGCTACGAAGAGGCGCTAATGGCTACAAAAGTAATAGAGGGGTGTGCATGGCTCCTCAAGCCCAGCCAATACACCAGTCATCTGTTAGAAAGCACAGCGAACGGGATTGCAAGCAAGGGTCCGCGATTTACCATGTAACGGGTCGCCAGACGAGGCGCAGCCGCGTCGGTGCTGCATCACTTTCGAAATCAAGATTTAGACCATACATACAGTGGTCTGACGACGAGCTGCCCGCGAGTCGAGGCACGGGTGTCCGGATAAAGTGTCTGTCCACGAGAGACTAGCCTGCGAGAGCCAGTGGCCGCGACCAAGGCCGCGACTCGGAACCCGAGCTTGCCAGTGAGAGCCTGTTGAATTTTCGCTCCCACCCGCTGAATCTTAAATAAGGGGCCCGGGGACAGACAGTACCAGCAGAAAACGGCCAAACGCAGATAGCTTGTTCTCAAATCGCGAGTCGTGAAAATCCAAGGAAAACCCATTAAAGTGGTCGGACTGAGGACGTCCTCAGTGTTGAACTTGAACTTGAAGTTGAAGGGGACAAACGAACCGTGACTGATGTGACACTCACGGTTGATTCCTCCTACCACTCCGATATAGCGGGGAGATCTCAGATGGTGGACGATGAGGAATACCAACACCTCAAGAGAGCGAATGCCCTGGACTCCCCGCCGGCACCACTCGAATTTGTGGCAACTGAACAATACAACCCGCCTCAGGCTCTACTCAGGAGTCAGGACCTACACGGTACATAGACGTTCAGCCCAATTGGCCATCACAACCAATCGGGGTTCGTGACTTCTTATACTTGAGGGAGGGCCAATCCGGCGGCCTACAGCGACCGACCATACTCAAATTTGTCGTACTTCTGCGTTGGAATCATCAAAACTCACAACCTACTATCTCCTGGACTCTGAGTCTTCGTTGCTTTCGATCGAATCCAACCACGGCTTGCGCGGTATGCATGTACGCTAGGCCGACGTCGTTACCGATCCCTCGTCTCGCTCAAGGTATATATTTATATTGTATCAATGTGTGCTAATTTATTCTCACCTTAATCTCGTGGCGATTTTTTCGAACGGATACTCCTGGAAGGCCGGAATTGCTGGTGTCAATCGCCCTTGATTTTCTCAGATACCAACCGCGCCCGACTACGCACCAACGTGATTCCTAGACTTATTTTCCTGGTCTCGTCCTGTCTCGTCGCCACCAGGAAAACTGGAGAATGCATGTGTTTATCGTTGGTTTCTCGTGCCTGAACTACGCGAAAGATCGGAACAGGCGAAGCGCAAGTTGCTAGCCTCGGCCAGCACTAGAAGTTCATTCAGAATCATTTTCCACATCCTTCGATTTTTTGCGAGACGCCCAATGTTCGAGTATCAGAGCAAGTAGGTTCCTTTAACCTATTAGTGTTGACCTCTATATTCAACATTCATCCCGACATATTTTACCACAGCCGAAGGTTGTCGTTATTTGCCCTTCACGGTGAATTTCGTGATTGGCTCGCTAAGTCACCGTCTAAGTGCTTCGAGTGGCGTTGATCCTGTCAATGTTTGCATAGCTCATTTGATTCCGTCGTCCCGCGATCATGGCGCGATGGGCCGGCGGCGAAGGCAGTACCAGGTCTGCTATTGCAGTTGACTTTGAGGGTTGGGCATTTTATGCATTTTATGCCATGCATTTCGGTTCCCCGATGCTGCGCAGGGCACCTAAACGAGCCTGTGGACCCAGAATTCAAAACCGTAAGTTGGGTAGGTATAGAATGACGTTTAGGAAAATTTACGACATGAAAAGATTCATGGACATCGGCAAGCTACGAGCAGAATTCTTCGTTCTACCTATACCTCCCTACTTTTACACCCAACATGGCCGTCGAAGTGAGCGTCAATGAGGTTTATAATTACCGTCCTGTACTCACGACACCTCCAGTTCAGACCTGCATCCACCCAGGCAACACTGGCCATTGACTTTCTGATCATCGGCGCGGGTGTTTCGGGCCTGGCGTGCGCTATGGCCCTGCGAAGGGTAGGCCATAGAGTTGTTGTTGTAGAGCGAGAGAAGGAAATTGGGGAGTCCGATGTGCGTCTACATTTCCGCTCAGTGCGCAGTGATTTAACTTCGTCATCCAGCTGTCTCGCGGCGTCCGCATGCCACCCAATCTGTCCAAAATCTTGTACCACTGGGGTTTGAAGCCAGAAGTGTATACTTTTGCAGCAAAGTCTAAGCAAATTGAAATCTCGCGCTGTGCGTTGTTTTACCCTCGTCGTCGCCCCTCCTAAATGCCACGACCAGTGGAGACGTCGGTCCGTCTTGGAACTCATTATTGGGACGAAGAAGTTCTCCGAGAAACGCGAGGAGAGTTTCTATTCGCGCATGTGAGTTGAATTCGTCTGCTCGGTATCGACTAGAAAATGAAGAACAACCTTAGCTTTCTGATCTCCGGAAAATGATGTATACCGTTGCCGTTAAACAGGGGGCCACAATCCAACTCAATACAACCGCTGTGGCAGTTGACCCTGAGCGGCGTGTTGTGACCCTAGATTCTGGCGAAACGCTAACAGCCGATGTAATCATCGGGGCTGACGGTGTCTCTGGTCTCATACGCCCACTACTGTTAAATGAACAGAACATTCAAGAAGCCACAGAACCGTCGTTGTGTATGTACAGGTAAGAAATCATTATTTCCCCTATGTTCAAATTACAACCTTCATCCTAGTGCTATCGTACCAAAGGCTTTGGTAGAGAAGGATCCTGAATCCAAGCGATTCTTCGAGCCCAAAGCTGTTCGTTATTTCAACGCCCGGTGCCCAGATCTGACTGATTTTTTGTGTCCAGATCTCCATGTTTTCTTTCTTTGGGAACAACCAATCTGTCATCAGCCACCCTATTGTGCGCCTTCTTTTTCCAGTTTTTTATTCCTTTTAAAAGCGAAAACTGTCAGGGTGGCTCTCCTGCCTTTACCTTTTGCTTGTATCGTCCCTGGGATGAATTCGAGAATGCGCCGGCAGAAGGGATGCGCGCTGCCTTGGCCGAAGTGTTACCTAGGTAAGTACGCCGGGAACCGTCCTTTTCTCATTCTGATCTCTCTCAGATTGCGAAACCTTGCTCCAATGATATCACACCCGAGACGCTTCCCAGTTTTTGAACATCCAGCTCTCGAGTACTGGGTCGATAAAGGCGGCCGTTTGGTCGTCGTCGGTGCGGCGGCTCATCCGATACCGGTATAAACATTGTTTCTTTTATGCAATCCATTCTGAGGTCGAATTCTTAGCCTGGCTCTACGCAGTATTATGCCATGGGCGTCGAAGACGGCGCTGTTCTGGCAAAACTTTTCTCGCACCTCGCGAATCATTGTCAAATCAAAGACTTTCTCTACGCGTTCCAGGAACTGCGGCAGTCCCGCTGCGAGTCGGTTCTTGCATCTGAGACCGGCATCATCCAGTATATGGGCATGCCGAATTGTCCAGAGCAAGAAATGCGCGATCAAGCTATGATAGCCAAGTCAGAAGCAAACACTGACCTTTTTGTGGTCTCCGAGGGCGAAGAGGAATCTCCCGAATGGGTGGAGATCAAGACCGTCTTTGGCTACGATGCCGAGGACGAGGCTGACAATTGGTGGGTGAGTTGGGGGCTCCTGAAGCAGAGATCTTTAGCAAGGCAAGCAGCACGAGCTGAATAGAATTGCCTGCCTGCCTGATATCTAATTATTTACGCTATGTATCTCTCCCAATCTCCTCGCTTCTTGTCTTTAACTACCCATTTAATAATTAATGTACTTGGCGGTTGTGGCTGCTGAGTTTCCTCGAGTCGGACAGTGCAGTTTCATTTCATGATCGAAGTACTCGCAGGGTTCAATCACTGTAAGAGCTTTATATACGCCGCAACGAAGGTTGCAAAGATCAAAACTCGATTTTTTCTTCTTCAGAGTTTGCAGTGCTATACTACACGAGACACGATGCATCCGACACAGAAACCTGTTTCGAACCAGGAATCAAATTGACGAGTTTGAGCTGGTGTTCAACCAGAGTTATTGACTTCCTTGTGGTGCTTGCCAACATTTGACACAGATCTGATTTAAATGCTTTTGAGAGCTGGGTGTTCGGTGGGAGTTGGCAAACGCTTTGTTAGTAACTTACAGTTTTCAACCGTGGTGCTTTCAAATGCTAATTCTACGAGATAGTTGCACATGCTGAAGCCTCACCCTATCACTGGACCTCACCTCCACCCTGGTATCTCCGATATGGTGTAGCGGTAACATATGCGCCTCTCAAGTGTGGTTATCACGTGACGTTATGTCACGTGGTGCAATAACGCGCGTGCCCGGGGTTCGACTCCCCGTGTCGGAACTTTTTTGACAGTTTTCGAATTTTCTGTTTGCCTTCCTACCACCATCTATATACGGTTCCTAAAACCTCCCACCCCCTTTGCTAACAACAACTCCACAAAAGCTTCAATAGATCTGATGTAGAGGCGAATCCAGAGGCCGCACACGATATGAGATGGCGCTCGACTAAACTCTCGCTGTCGCCCATCCTTCTCCCATTTCCATACCGCCCCGCCTTGCCATCTCCTGATCTCTAACCCGGCCCAGATCAACCTCCCCCTCCCCCTCACGTTTCCACACCATGCGGCCCCGTTAGTGATCCACGTCCTGAGCGCTGAGCAGCAGCTCTCATCATCACTCGGCGTCGACCGACTGCTACTCAGGCTCAGGCTCGCGCTCACGCTGACGCTCCACCCACCTCTCCCGTTGTGGCGGTGAAAATGTGCGTGGAGGTGACGCGAGCGCGAAGAGTGGGGCGAAAGTGGAACCTCAACAACCCTCGCACTCCCCTCCTTTCCATACCGCTTGGCCTTGTCCTTATCTCGTCCTCCTCCCAACGCCGACCCAGATCAACTCTTCCTGTTCCCTCACGTTTCCCCACCCTTCTTCCCCGTTGGTGATCCACGTCCTCAGCGGCGGCGTCGTCCTTCTCATCACTCGGCGTCGACCGACGCGCTCGCGCTCACGCTGACACTCTGCCCACAGCCCCTGTTGTGGCGGAGAATGCGCGAACCCCCGCACGCACAGCTTCGGGCGGGACCTCGTGGTCGTGCCACCTCGGCCTGCTCCCGCTGTGATTCTGAAAGGCACGTAAACTGTGCGCACAAGTGGACGATCAAAGGTGGTCCAAAGCATCTAGGTTGCATCTAGGCAGGACCCGTGCTGCATGTCGTGGCGACGGTGTATTCCATCGATGTCTAGGCCACCGCTTCGTAGAACTATCAGGACCCGGATCTTCAAGGGGAATTTGTTGTTCGAAACGCCATGGTCGACCCCCCGGGAGTTCCTTTTCAGCGGCCGGTGTTCATAACGTAGATTTTGAAACGTGTGATAGTGAGCTCGCATACAAAACTCTCTGAGGAAGGATCGAGTAATTGGACTTGACGGAATATCAATGAGGTTTTGGGCCCACAGTAAGGGCCGACAACGCAGTCGAGACAAGTCTCTAAAACGGTCGTCCAGTCGGTCAATAATCCCACAAGTTGATTGTCGGAGAACGGATTCAGACTGTTCCAGGGATATCTTTTTGCCGAGTTACTACCACTGACACTGCAGTATTATCCAGTAGATGAAAGAGGAGACTGAGAAAAGTTGACGAGGTAGTCTTGCTCCCAAACTGGCTGACTGCACCAGATGACGTGGGTCCAAGGACTATAGCGAAAGGACGGGACGAGAAGAATCCAGCAACCCGGTCGGTGAGAGAAACCGGACCCTCACTCAGAAATTCGTACACGCAGGTTGAGGAGAATGTTTGGCCGGATTCGGAGTTTCCCGCCGACGCCGTAGCCAAACTTCCGCACCTCTTCTCGACCGCAGACTCAGCCGCAGACTCAGCCGCCGGAGTCTACTATAAGTACGTTTGCTGGCAGATTCCTCGTGTGCACACTTGTCGTTGACAATCATCTCCCAGGACAGGCGCTGAAGCCATATATATAGGCGCTACAATCCTGTGTACAGAGCTGTAAACCCTCCTCTTAGCGCCCCCGTTGCTGTGACTGAGTGGATCCAGGCGACTCTTTATAGAGCTTAAAACAAGACGAAATCGACTGGTGTCCTTCCCGTCGCGACTTGGTCAGAAAACGCCGCGCTTAACGTGTCGGCTCGTGCTCGATTCTACTCATCCGGACGATATATTTTATCGCAATGCCTGCGAAATATTCGCATGTAAAAAAGAGGTCTACTGCTGGAGCCCTCAAAAAATCTCCGAACGGGAAGAGCTCGCACCAGCGGTCGCCAGATCCACACCCGGACCGCGGTATCTCCCAAGCAATGACAGCCGTCTCGCAGCTCGAACGCGCCATTGCCCGCCTCCTGCTCCTCCGCTACGAGCAGGATATCGCCCGTCTGTTTTCGACGCGCCTGTACAGCATCGCCCTTGTGCACCTGCCCACCTTCGTTATGCGCTGTGCCGCACTTGCCGGCCCTGGCTGGGTTGCCTACAACGCCGACGCCGACGAAATCAAAGACTTCTTCCGCGCCGCGATCAGTATGGACATGCGCCAAGCTGGCGAGCGCGTCGCGACCAAGAGCGTGCTCTGGTCCTACACCGCCCTCAGACACTTTGTATGTCCGCGCAGTACTCGCAACTAGTGTAGTCGTGATGTGTGCTGATGGCCGCCACTGGCAGGCATTGTCCAACGACATCGCCATCTGCAAAAAGCGCGGCTTGCACTCGATGCGCCTGCTCCCACACTACTCCGCGCTCAAGACGCATCTCGACTCCCTCGAGGCGATGCCACCTGCGACGTTTGCCAAGCCACCGCATCTGGGCTCGCTGCAGGAGGGGCAGGACGCGCTTGAGGAAGCGTGTGAGCTCAAGTACGCCTCACGCTCTGAGTGGGGGCACGACTGGCGCGCCAAGGTGCGCCTCGGGTACGAGAAGCTCTCGCAGACGCTGTGGCGCGTTGCGCGCGAGTTTGACGTCCGTGGGTACGGGATGGTGCTGCGCGAGAAGCTTACAAGCAAGTGGTGTGACTGCGGGTGCTCCACCGACCATCTGGGCGAAGTTTGTGAGCGCACCGTGCGCGAGGACGAGGAGGAGAGTGGGGTGCGACTGGGAAAGCAACGGGAGTGGGATGGCCGCGGTAGTGGCGTCTATGGGTGGGAGACGGAGGAAGAAGAAGATATATGGGAGATCGGCTTGGACTTTGGCGGTATGGATCCAGAGGAACCCAATGAAGGAATCGAGAGTGACATGACGATTGGGGAGCTCATGGAATGGCGATACATCAAAGCCGAGCGCGAGAAGGAGCAGGTCGGTAGTCATTCGTTCCAACTCCAAATGAGCTCACCGTCCTTCAGGGTAACGTCGCGTTTCGAAAAGGAGACTACGCTCAGGCAGTCAAACACTACGAAGCTGCCTACCAAATCGAGCCCGAGCTGCCTCATTACCAGCTCAATCTCGCCGCAGCGTACTTGAAGCTGAGCAAGTATGTCTGTGCATTTATCCTACCTCTGCTTCTTTTGACCTTTGTACACAGGTGGATGGAAGCTGAAGCCGCGTGCACCAAAGCTCTAGCTCAGCATCGCAGCGGGAAAGGCTATTTCCGCCGTGCGCGGGCTCGCAAAATGCTCGGCCGCACCGACGAGGCCATCCGAGGTAGTTCTCTCTCACCCACTCGAGCCCTGTACCAACAAACGATGTCCATCCAGATCTGCGCGCGATCCTGAAGCTCCAGCCGACAAACGTGGAAGCGATCCAAGAGTTGGTCACGCTCCTCCCACCCCCGAGCCCCACGTCCTCGACGTTCGCATCGTCCACGGATACGGCCACAGTCTCATCCTCCTCGTCATCCAATGCCACCGCGGAGCCCTCCCACTCCCATTCGGAGCTGCTGTTGTACGAGCGCCTGGGCGTGGGGAAGCTCAAGCAGCCGAAGCCGCTGCCGTTCGCGCGCACGAGGGCGGACGACCGCAAGCTCAAGATTGTGCTCGTGCCCGCGCCCGCCCCCGGAGACGCGGCGTGTCATCACCATGCGCACCCGCACGCGCAATCCCATGGGAATGGGCACACGTGCGACAGGCATGGACACCACCACCACGGCCAGGGGGGCAAAGGGAAGGGTAAAGGCACGAGCAGCGCGGTGGCGGCGGGGATGGGCATCGCGGCGGCGACGCGCCGGGAGAAGGAGCAGGCGCTCGAGGCGGAGATGCTCAAGGTGCTTGAAGCGATGCGCCTCAATACCGGCACCGGTGGTGGGAGCTTGTCTGTGATGCTGCCGAGCTGGGACCGCTACGTGATAAGACGGGCGGACTCCTAGTTCCTCCCATGGCAGAGACGAGCTGAAAGAAAGGCGCGGATGCGGCCGCCGTCTTTCTAGGTGTTATTGGGCTCGCTGTACTAACACGCATGCTTGTGTGTATGCATTATGTTCGCTCTTCGCCGAGGCGTGCTACGCGCGACTTTAAAGCCGATTTGAGTTTCATATCACGCACCCGTGACTTGAAAGCTTCCTTGAGCCCAGAAGAACGCTGTCGAACAGGTCCTTATCTACTCACTTTCTCAGGCGTCTGGATTTCTTCCTTGGACTTCATGGCGACGCAGGCGAACTCTGTTCCTCACCCTACTCTTATTCAGGTATGTGGAAAGCACTTTGCTCGCCATATATCATCTTGTTGCTGATATTTCGAGGTGTAGGTCGACCCTTTCATGTCAGTAAGCGTGAATTGAGAATCCAAGCTTATCTAAGGAGAGTACATAGTAAGGCAGACCAGCAGAAGGTAACTCCTCGCAATATAATTGTGAACCAGTCAATGAATGGTTTTCAGGGAATCCACAATCGTTGGCAGTAAGAACGAACTTGTTCCTTCAACCATATGCTAGACTTCTTCAGTCCTGACATCCCGGCCTTTGTGACCGTCAAACCTGGAGAAGCGAGTACCACCCCGTTTCGCGACTGTACACTCACTCTTCCCATAGGTATTCAAGATTGAATGCGTTGGTAGGTCTAGTCCGTCCCTCTGCTTTCCGTCCCTGATACTTACATGTACATGCTCGCCGATAGACTGGACTGGCGCGCAAATCGGCAACAATGATAGTAGGTGTTGATGCTCTTCCCCGGGAATTGTATATTCAAATACGATATGTGTAGACAGCGACGACGTGAAGAATGTCGACCTGACCAAAGTGCATAATCTCTCCGGACCCATCGCTGTGGAGGGCGCGGAACCCGGAGACTGCCTCGTCGTGGATATTCTCGACGTGGCGCCGTTTGAGAAGATGCCTTGGGGGTACACCGTACGCGCTTCAGCCCGTCTGTACCGCCAAATCGGCTGATTATGTGTAGGGCATCTTCGAGCTGA